CAAACAGTTTTTGTGGAGTGTTGCTGGAATGATAATCCTTTGCCAGATATAAATCTGGTCCGGGTCCGGTTACGTATAGCCGAATGTCGGGGCAGCCATCAGATGATATGGTAATAGACAACGCTGTAATCGTCACCGTCAGTAAAAGTGACGATACGGCCATCGTATTGACGTTATCACTAAACGGTGGTAGTAAAGAGTTATCCGCCTCGTTAAATATCACCTTAGAGCCAGATACTGCAATCGTTCGGCAGACAAAAGGACTGGTTGATCTTCACATCCTCTGAGGAGATACCGGCTTCGGCACCTTGCTTGAACCAACAGTATAGATGGTTATATTCTCCTTTGCACTGGGAGTCCAATATCCCATTTTTGTCCGATCGGGAACCTAATAGGTATCTCAGTATTGACGTAACAAACAGGCACTGAGCGTGGAAAATTAAGTTTGTTTGTAATCATATCTCGAGAATGAAAACAGCAAAACTAATTTAACATTATTTAAAGCTTTTAAGATGGATAATTCAGGAAGAATAGGCTCGGTGGATAAAAAATTACCTTGACCTTTAAAATTACCTCCAAAAATAGAGTGTTCAAAATGGTTTCACTTATTTTTAACTGAAAACATTTGCAATGAAATTTTCAAATGGTTTAGACATATATTTTTGCTGTTTGTTGCGTATAGGAATCCATAATCACAAGAATCAAAAAAAAAAACTTTTGCTGTTTTCAGGCAAAAAAAAAAATTAAAAATTTTACCTTTGAAGGTCGTTTTTAAGGTCAAGGTATCGTTTCAGTCAATCAGGGCATACCATTTTTATATTTATTTTGTCTTTTTTTGACCATTTTTGATTTTGATGAATTTTGATCAGAATTTTTTTTAATCATATAACAAAGTCGTGCCAAGGGGAAACATTTTTTTTTTTTAAAGCTTTTCATAATTCTAAAATCACAATTTCCGGGATTTCGCAAGTTTATTTTTTGAATATCTCAAAAAACCTATTTACAAAAATGAAAACTGAAATTTGAAATCGCAATTATAAAAATTTGGGTAAACAATTTTTTTATACAATACCTCAAACTGATCTTAAAAGATCCTGAAATTTCCGGATGGGTATTGTGAAATTGTGAAATTTTGAACTTTCGAAATTATTATTTTTTAAATTTTCTTCCTTTTGCAGAACTTTGTTACACGCTAAAAGAAACGTTCTGATCAAAATTCATCCAAATCGAAAAAGGTCAGTTCTAACCATTGGTCGATTTGACATCAATTGATGCATGTAAAGGGTGATCCATACAGTGGGTTTATTTTAAAAATTCAAATATATTAAAAACATAATTTTTTTCTGTTTATTACTGTTTTATTCGAACGAGCAAACATTCCCAAAATTTATGGAACCCGATTTCATTCATGTGGCTGCCTCGGCTGACTCCGCAATAGACTTTGGTGATGGTTTCTCTACCCCACGGCTGATAGATTGAAAATTTTAAATTTTTTTATAACATTTACATTTTTAGTTGTGCATCAACTCAGCCAAAAACCTAAGGCTTTTCTCCGTTTTCAACTAAATTCTCCAGTTTCAAACTACTGTGCTTCGACTCTCTTCGTCAGGTCACCGTTGTATAGTTCTGATTTGGCATCTAATGATTTGTTTTGGTTCCTGCCTGTAAATACCAGTGGAAGCTGTTGACACAATAAAAAACGAAATTTTTTTCTTAGTCAGACAAGGGACTTGCCCCTCCCGCGTGCAACAGAAATTTATTAAAATTTGAAGTGAAAGATTTTTAGGGTTACCTGATTTGCGTCCAGTAAAAGAGATTATAAAAAATTGCCTTTGCACATTACCATGCTTGAAAGTACAAAAGTTCCAGTTGATTTAAAAACTTTTAGCAAAAATGATATTCAAAATTTTTTGTATTACATTTTCAGTTTATTCAATTCAAATTAATTAAATTTAATTAATTAGTGCTTAGTCACTAAAGAATTCATGATGTTTTTTTTATGTACATATGTATGTATGCACGTTTTGTGTTTATATTACATACACAATTTTTCATACAATTATTTTTCTTAGACTTAAATTCCAAAAATGTTCCTTTATTTTCCATTGTTTTATTATTTAGTTTAGTTATATGATATTTTTAGACCATCAAGGTGCTTTCTTGTATTCTAGTTGCTTGCTCGCTTTGCCCTTTTGTTGCTTTTTTGTTACATCATTTTTTTGTTTCGTTTGCAAGTTGGCATATTGCTGTCTACAGCAAAATAAATTTCTTAGATCACTCAATTTTTAAAACATAAATATTTGATAAAACAACTCGCGCAAAGCGTTTATAAACAAGCAAATCATTTATTTTAATTCTATGCGATTTTTAACAAATCATTTTTTGTTTATTTATACATATACATACATATATTAAAGAGCGGGATCCTGCCCTGTCAACAAAAATTAAAATTTAAACAATTAAAATTAAAATTACGTGTTAATATGACAAAGAACCATAAAAGCGTTAAAATATATTTTTTTTTTTATAATAAATACGCGCACTAACGCAAAATAAAAAATGTGGGCGAAGATTAAAGAAGAGTTAATTTGTCTAAAAACATAGTTGCTTTCAAGCGGCGCCATCAAACAAAATGCAACAGTACATCTTACTGTACCGGCGCAGTGTTGCATTTTGTGTGCGAGCCATGACGCTTGCAATTAACGGTAAAAAAGCGATATTACAAAACTAAAAGTGCTGCCTATTACTTTCAAAACTCGACTTCGATTTTTGCTATATTCCTCTGCACTTTTCACAATTTGTATTATTTCCTTCAGAGGGTATAATTTTGCGCGCGTTTCCTATTGGCCGTTCAATAATATTACTGTACAAATGTATGCATACAGTGTTAAAAAATTGTATACTTTTCGCATTTTGGACATTTACTATTGTCAACTTTTTTTTTTTAAAATTGCTTTAATAAAATTACGCATTAAAAAATATTATACGAAATTAAAAAAGAAAAACTATAATTTGTTATTAATTAGTCGCAAAGCACAATATTGTACAAAAATTTACACAGCTAAATTTAGTAAAATTAGCAAAAACTTATTTCGACTCCATCATTTACAAGCACTCTTCGGCCAAGTTTGATTTAAAAAAAAAAAAAACTTTACTCTCTGCACATCGAAATACTTTTTATAGTTATCCTCTTTTGATTTTTTACTACACACACGATGAGCACATATGTAGTAGCAATCAAAACTTACAACTTAAAAATATATGCGAAGACTTATGTTTTTGAGGTGGAAAGGAAGTGTGGAAGCTACAAATTCAACACACCGCCTAGCAGGTGGGTGTTTCTTTTTTCCATTTTCGATTACGCGCCGAACACAAAGAAATTGCATGGGCGCCTAAAAGTATGCGCTAGTAAAGCATGCAGGCATACTATGCCAATTTTAAATTTCTCCCAGCACGTCGCATGGCAGCCTATGTGTAGGCTTGCGATTTCTTTGTAAACATTATACTTTCAAAATGTTCGTACGCAATCAATTATTTATTATTTTTTTCCTTGTCACTCGTAGTGTGTTTATTTCACTCACAGTTTTTGCTTTTTAAATTGATTTTTCACACTTTTTGTCCCATTAAATTTTTTTAAATTTTATATTACAATGTTTTTACATTTACTAAATAATTAGCCTTGCTCAGGGTTTATTTATTAAATTTATTGGTTTTTTTTTATAAATAATTAAAATTTTTTTTTATATCTGCTATTATTTATAACCTCTAAGTTACACATTTAGCTACCTTATTTCTGTTGGGTTCACTTTTCCCATTTTATTTTTTATTCGCATCTTCTTAGTAAATTTGAATTTTTATTTTCTTAAAAAATCATTAGCTTTCCCGTTTCTTAGTAAATTCGAGTTCAACACTATGCGACTTTTAGTCTTGCTTTTGCTTCTAAACGGAAAACTGTAAAGTTTATGTTTCACACATTTCTGCATTTTTTGCAATTTTATTCTTTTTGAATTTATTCTTCTTTTTTCAATTCTTTAACAGCTAGTGTTTCAGGATTTTGTGTGGGTGTATGTATTTGTATTTGTGTGGATAAGTTATGGGGGTTATTTTGACAACATTAGCTTAACACATGATCCTCCATTTTGCGCTACTTTCAATACAACAAAAAAAAAACTTTTTATGTTGCTTCCTGATGTTAAGAGTGATAATTCAGAGCTGATCACTGCATGTACTAGACTTTAGATAGATCTTATGTAAACCTGGGACGACCAGAGAGAGCTTTTGCTATGTGCGTTTCGTTAAAGTCTACACAAAATTTTTATAAATGCACTCTCTGTCCAATGCTATATGACCAGAGAAATTTCTTATCGTGTTTTCCTAAGCATAAAATATGATTTTCCTACGTGCGCTTCCAAAAACAAAATCTTTAGAAAGCTTTAAAAAGTTTAGCACGCGGGTTGTGTTTTAGTGGTGACTGATATGGACGGAAATTGTATTTCCGCCCAATACTGAACGACCAGTGAAAGCTTTTAGAGCGTGTCCCTCTTAATAAAATATTTGGCAAGCATAAAAAACCCCGGCAGTTGTATCCATTTAGGTAAGTATATATGAAGTCCATTTCTTAGTTTTAAAACTCTCATAAAATTTCAACTTCGAAATTACCCAAAATTTACCGGTCTACTCAGCTTTTCGGTGCAAGTTCTACTGCTGAGAATTCTGCAAATCGTTCGACAGTGTACCACTTCAAAGGCACGCGTGCCAAGCCTCTTAAAAGTACCTGTATAATTTCCATAAGACTGGCATAAAATAAAAGCTTTCGCTGGCTAAAACTGGTCTATGCAATTATCAGTGATGCACTTTCTATATAACAGCCACAGCCAAACCTTATACCGCAGGAGAGGCATTTTGAAGTTTTTTAAAGATTGAACTTGCGCAGAATAAAAGCTCTCCATTTTATGTGTAGGCCAGACATTTTCTCAAAACCTGTGCTTACAAAAGGGAAATCTTCTGGCATTTTTTTAGCATTAAACTTTTTGGGAGCTTTAATAATACAAGCAAGTAATTTCTGAAGTTTAAATGACTTAAAATTACATATAGGAAGGCTTTTCAAAAACTAATATGTATATTTTACCATTTTTTGAAAACTTTCGAGCTACGAAACAGCTTTTCGGACTTTGAATTTTAATTAAAACAAATAAATATTCGGCGCATACATACATCCATTGCCAATACTTTTCCCAACTTTTCCTCCGATTTGTGGTGTGCACCTTGATGTTGTCATACAAAGAGGAGGGATTTGGAGTTTTACACAGACTTCACATTTAACTAACTTCAACAAAGACTAGCTTAACAGTCACCGCAATCCTTTTATAATTCTGAAAACTCTATAAAAGCTCAAAATTAAGCTTAAATTATGTGAAACTTATTACCATTTTAAAAACCTTAAAAATTCAGAGGCGGTCATTTTAATAGTGCGAAAATTTTCCGCTTTCAAAAAGGGATTATTAAATTTTTTCGAAAAGCTTTTAATTTACAAAAGAGCTTTTGAGGTTTATAATTTTAAAACTGAGTTTAAACTTGTTGATATCAGTTATAGTTATTAAAACTTTGAGAATTGAACGGCCCTGAGCTTTAATAGTGCAAAAAAAAGTCCGATTTTAAAAAACTCTTGTCATTGTTTTTTTTTTCTTAACATGTAATGTACAACCGCGTTTGAAAATTCTACAAAAGCTATACATTACAAATGCAAAGCTTAAAATGTGCAGGCGTATTTTATCAACAGAAGTGCTAAGCCAGCATGGAAGAAAAGCGATTTTTCCATAAAGAAAATTACTTAACGAAGGCTTTTAGGAAGTATTTATAGACTCAACAAAGTTTCAAAAATTTGTAGTATTTTAAGAACCTTTGCCTTTTTTAAATTTGTTTTGATTTTACAAAGCCAACGCACTTAGCTTGCTTGCATTTTTGTCTTGAAAATTTTAAAATTTTTCTACATTGTCAGTACTTAAAAAAGGAGTACATATAGATTGTTTTCTCAGTATACTGTATTTCATGATTTTTTCTTTCATGTTTCATGTTTCAATTTGCAATTTCTATTTTCCATTATTTCAACGTGTTAAAATAAATATAATTGGTACAAAAAAGAATTGAATTTTACAATTTTAAAACTTACTAATAACAATTGTGTACATGCAAACCACAATGTAGGTAGTATATGTATAGAGATTTCATAAATTTAATAAATAATAGTTTTAAATTTTCTAAAATGCAATCTTAAAAAAATAGAAGTAAAAATTGTTTATCAAATTTATTTTATAAAAGTGTATTTGAATTTTTTGTTTCACGTCTCTCGATGTCGTAATCCTTTCGCAACGCAGCTTTTCATTCATTCAAAACTTATTGAGCAGCATAAAATAGTTTTTTTTTTTTTTAAACAAATCGTTCATTTTTACGCATTTAAATCTATCGTTAAGTTTATAATATTGCCGAAATTATTTAGGCTTGCGTCAAGTCATTTGAAAATACGTATGTATGTATGTAGTCAGCATTTATTTTTGTAGTCAAGTCAAATTTTTGCCAAACTTCAGCCATTTTTTCTTTTCAATATTATTGTGCAATCATTTTGTTGTTAATTCTCTCTACATTTGTATGTTACTATTGAGCGTAGTTGCGTTTTAAGGATTCGAAATTGAAGGTCAAACAAGGTAAGCGTTTTGTTGGAGAGTCTTGCTATTAGGGCTGCTTCCAGTCGTCACTACGTTTTACAATTTTCCATTTTTAGCATGAAAAAAATTTAAGTTTTCTATTACAACCTTGCGTTTCGTCTTTTTGTTGTTGTTTATTACATTTATGTAGTTTAATTGTTTTGTCTGCCGTCGCTATAATGGCATGTGCCTGTTATATCTGCACGAAAGTTGCTGCCATTTTGTCTATACTGCAATTGAGATGTTCGGCTTGATTGATTGTAAATGAATGAAATAAATTCTGCTGCAATGGATTTTTCAACTTAAAAAATTAGTTAAAAAAATATTTAGGTTTATGTTTGTATCTGTAAGTATGCATGCATGCCTGTCTTTGTGGTAGTTTCATTGGTTGTTATACATTTGTGCTGAATTTGTTTGTATTTATGTATGTACATATGTATGTATGCGTGTGTGTGTGTGTGTTTCTTTCCTTTTTATGTTTTCTTGGCAATTTTTCAGGTTTAAAGTAAAATTATGCTTTCCTTTCCTTCTTCTTATTAGACTGTTTGCTTTTTACTTTTACATATCTGTTTTTTGTTTGTTTTTGTTTTTCTTCTTCTTCTAACTATTCTTCTTCTTTGTCTTGGTTATGCCACCATGAAATTTCTATATATTGTATATGTATAATTTCTTCATCATTCTTCCATGCGTTCCTTAAACATTTTGTCCTTAGTGTTAACATTCTTTTCTTCTATTTTATTTTGTTTTTATTTTGTTGAGTGAGTTTTTTGAATATTTATTTTTTTGTTGCAAAAAAATTGCATTTTTGTAAATTATTATTTTTTTGATTTTTTTTTGTTGTAGTTTTTTTGGCATTTTAGTTGTTGTTGTTCTTGTTTATTTCACTAGCTGTTTGTAGTTGTTGTTGCAACTAACGTATTAGCAAAAAATTTTGCGCCTTTTCGGTGATTTTCTTACATAGTCCCGCTACTCTCCGTCACATTCCACCGTGATGACTTTGATTTTCACTCCCCGACGGTTTATGCTCTCCCATGGCCGTCGTCGTCTCAGCTACTTCCGTCTTATTGTGTTCACTTTCATCACATTCTTCCAGTTCGGCTAAATTCTCTTGATCGGATTCTTCAAGTGTCACCTGAAATGCAGAGTTGGAGAAGTTAATACAGTTAAATTGCATTTGTTGCGATTTTCAGCCAAGTAAGAGCGGAACAATTATAATTTTTTGTTTAAAATTTCTATGAATTTTTTAATATTATTTAAATGCTTTCTTTACTTCTATCTAAATTGTTTTTCTCTTTTCTCGGCTGCTAATCGCACAAAATTGTTTAGTGATGAGAGACGCACTACTGTTTTTTTTTTTATCTGCAGCCAATTGTGTTAGTGTCTTTTTGGATTTATTTTCATTTCTACATTTTGTCTCAGCAACTCACTTGAAATCGTATCTTATCGTCGGAGGGTTGATCGTCAGCCGTCGATGGTGGTGGTGATGGTGGTATCATGCTCTGATAATAGTCTCTATTCTCTTCAAGCGTATCAAGTATATCCTGTGCGTCTGGATGCACCAGATCGGCCCATGTCTCCCACAATGGATGCACAATATAATCGATAAATCCGACCTGCGATTTTTCGATTGTTGAATTATGACGATCGCACATGGGACTAATATCCATGCCCGATTCACGTTCTTTATCGCCCTGCAAAAAGAACTCCTCCATTAGTAGGCTGACCCAGCGTTTGTACAATGGCAACGGTTTAGTTGGATTACTCAAATCGGCACAATGTACCAGATTTTCGAGCACCTAAAAGAAATATGAAGAAACTTATGTAGTTGTAATACTCGTAACAATAAGAGTAGTTGTAAATACGCTAGTCATATTCTGGGGACCTAAGGGGAAAATGTTATGGTTGGACGATGCTCAGAACTTGGTTAGAGCAGGAGTGTTATGCTCCTCTACTACTATTGTAAGTATTGCGTATATGGGTACTACTCTTTTTCATTTTCATTACAAAAAGCGAATCTAAATTGGTTTTGAAAAACTGTCAGCAAAAGTTATACCATGAGAAAAATAAATTTAAAAAGAAATCAGAATATTAATTTCTTAAAAGCTCTTATTTAAATAAATTGTAAAATCTTTCCCAAGGAAGGACAAATATCAGACTAGTAACGGCTACATTAATTCAGTGCAGTTCAGTTTAAGATACGAAAAACGGAAAATTTTTGGGAATAGCAACATGAATATCTTCTACATCAGAGTACACTACATAGTAGTACGCCAAAAAATGAAATTGTAGAAAAAAATATAGTTGAACTAAATATTTTAGTATTATTATTTTTTTAAAACCTAAGATAGTATTTTCTCGAAAAATGATAGATACTTCGTACTGTCACAACGTTGAACAATAAATAAACAGTAGTTTGTGACATATTAAGCTCAAATTTAAAAATAAATTTTTATTTGCAATTTTTATGCAAAATAACTGTAATCTAAGACATATAATATAAAAATCGAAAATAATTGTTATTTTGGATTTAGAATGTAAAACTCAAAAATAACTGTTATTTTTTAAAATTTTTGCATAATAATTGCAAATCTATTTATAAAAGTCGTCAATAAAAATCAGTCAGTGACTTTCTTTTTTAAAAGTCATCAATATAAATCAATCACCGACTGTTTTTTTTAAATCATTCGTATAAAAGTCATTAACATTTTTCGCAGTTAAGAAGGTGTTGGGAAACAGAAGTTTATTACAAATGACTTTTATAAGTATGATTTGAAAAATAAAGGTCAGTGACTGATTTTTATTTATGACTTTCTAAGACCCATAATTTAAAAATCAAAAATAACTGTTTTTTGCAGATTATCTAGATAAAAATCAAAAATAATTGTTATTTTGGATTTAAAAAATAAATGTCAGAAATAACGGTTATTTAAGGAGCACCCAAATAAAGTTAAAAAAATAACTGTTAAAGAGCGATTTTTTTAATAAAAGTTGTAACTGTTACGGTGCCTGATATTAAGGAAAAATATTTAGTATAGCTACTTATTTTTATTAGCTCCAATCCAAGTTTTCTTCTGAATATTTTAAGTAAAAAAGGTCTAAAAAAGCCACGAAGTCAGACCTCTAAAGTTCTGTGACTACGTTAAATCTAGCCTCTAAAAGACTAACCTGCTCACTCTGGTCTTTTTAGGGTAAAAAGATCGCTTTTTTTTGTTACCTGTATACGATCGGTGTAGTTGTCCAGCAATAGCACACCGGAACCGGCGACCTTCTTCGTCTCGACCATAGTCTTTAAATCGGCCAGTAGGCTCATGTGTTTAGACATGTCCGTTGATAGAACAATATCGATAACCATCTTCCTTAATGTTTGGCGTTGTTTCCTGCAAGAAATGAGTGCAAAATTGTTTTTTAGGATTTATTTTTATTTTAAAAGCTATTTTGTAGTCGAGAAAGATTCGATTTTCGCTTCTTGGATAGGAGTAATCGCCGCTTATCTAAAGCCGGGGTCCCCACTTCGGAAGCGTACGAATTCACACAAAAGCCGGCGTAGATATGCTTTCAACTATTAAGTAATAATCATAGCATTCTCGATCCTGTTTTACCTCATTTGAGTACCGGGCATGGTGGTCTCATAGTCACTGCATGAACCTTGCCAGTAAACAGCCTACCCCGGGATTCATCTACCAAAGACCCGTAACTGATCTGCCATGGAGCTCTGTTAGGTGAATTTACAATAACTGGATGGAGAAGCAAACGCAACATTACCGTGCTAAATACAGAAGGTAACAGACAAACCAAAATCGCAATTATTTCTCTGAAATATTATTGAGAAGAAACAAGACACTCCTTCGTCTTTCCCAAGGGAGAAACACTTTTCGAAATTGGGAGCTGCTTATTGTGACCAATGCAGTGTATCACTGCAAACCTCACTAAAATCGCTCCAGCATGAAGTCCTTGGTGCAAAGACAAGTAAACAACAATTTAGAAGGGAATTGCTCGGTCGGGGCTGGTAGGACACAGAGGACGATGCTTTATCTATACTTTCCAGACAGCTACACTATGGACTCTAATGTCACCTGAATATAAATTACATAGTTAGAGAGTTGAATATCATGCTTGGTGGACAATTACTGCCCAGCTGTTTTCACAGGAAGTACGTGAACAGACGAAAGTCTAAACCCGCAGAAAAATCAGGTCAACAAAGCCACTTTTAACCAGCTTCCATCACAAAGAAGGTGGCAAATGCTGCCGGCTTAGCTGCAGCGGAGTCATGATAAAGTATGTATATTTCGGCAATTCGCGTTGGAAACATTACGTTGAAAAGTTCTTTATTCTTTTTCTGAAGTTTCAGCCGGTGGTATTGAGCTAGTGCTGTTACCTTGTTATTTTTTGTATATTTATATACTTAAAATAAAGAATGATTCTGATTCTGATTCTTTTTCTGAATTTTAATTTTCCTCCGCATTAGGAAAGCCAAAAGGCAGAAACCAACAAATTTCGGAACCCCGACCGGTTTATTGAAAACTAAAATTACTAAGAAGCTAAAACTGACAACATTGCAATGGTTTGGGACTTAAACTCATGGACACCTGAGTTCATCCGATTTAAAACCAGAAAATAATGGGACCAGTAAGACTACCAGTTGCGAATGATGGCATATTCATCTTCACTACTGGTTCAAAAATTGAGAAAGAAATCGGCGCCAAACGCTATCCACAAGACTTGCAGATAAGTTAGGTCTTATCGTCCGCAAAATGATACAACGTCTTCCAAGCGGAGGCTTATGCTATAAAGAAGCAGCTAGCCTTCTACTAATTACCATATTTTCAACCGAAAAAGCCACACTCTTGATTCATAGTCAAGTGACTCTGACAACAATAGATTCCAAAGTGGTAAAATTGGCGATTAGGGGGCATTACTGGCCGATCTGAACGTCTTCTGTTTTGAGTTTCCGACCAAACCAGTATTATGGAGCAAAAAGAGGCAGCTGAAGAGATTGGCCTTATAACTCTGAGACGCTAATAAACGCAGCGGACACCTCCACAAAACTATTGTTTAGAGATCATATCAGAAAACTTGAACAAACGAGATTAATGTGAATTCTGAGGGTCATTATGTCGGTGGTTAGAGGGTAAAGCGATATAAGACCTTCTGAAACCTAAAAGTTCTCACCGACGTCAATGCAGGTCACTGAACTTTACTGCACCGATTGTGAATATCAACGAGTTCTCTCTCCAGTCGCTACCGTAGTGAGAATGAGAAAAAATCAACTGACCACTTCCTGTGTCAATTTCCAGCCGAGCAGTCGAACCAAACAGCTGGGCCACACTTCTTTAGCATTCTGACAGAGATAATGGATACAAGTGAAACGATAGGACCTTTTCAATTTAACTAGCAACAGGTTTAAGCAGGTTATTATTTCTTTTCTCAATTTGAAGGAATGGAATGTGCGTGCTCTTGGGACACACACACAGCGAACTATACCTTCGAGTCCAAAGTTGGGTACGTACACGCCCTCTTAATCCAAGCTTGCAGGCTAGTTGTATTATCGTAATACCTGCGCTAAAGTTCTATGCCGAAGTAAAAGCTATGATTTCATAATACTCACTTTTGCATATTACAGAATATATCACATCCTTGATTTTGTAATAATTTAAAGGCAACTGCTAAATGATGATTTTCCAAAACAGATTCGTCATTATACATTAAGGCTAATTCGGAACCTAGAAAAATAAATAAACAAATAATTCACTCTACTTGAAGATCAAATAAACACAAAACAACTGATTTAAGTCAAGCTCAATTCAAGGGCGGTTCTTAAAATATCATCAACATGAGGTATTCCTCTATTTTGTTCCAAACACTAAAAAAAGACATCCACGAAAATTTAAAAATTTAAAGAAAATTTTAGGGATCGCTACTAGGGTGTGAACTAATTGGTTTTGTTTTTTAAATTTCAAAATTTTACGAAATTCTTATATTTGCCAGCTATAACTCAGCGAGTTAATTAATTTAAATCAGATTTGAAGTGGAAATTTTGTAGAATTTCTGCTATTAAAAAATTAAATTTTTTCAAACCTTGGTAGCGACCATTAAAAAATTTTTTCAAAATTTTCCAATTTTCGTGGATTCTTTTGGGGTTGATATGTAGAACAAAATTTCGATGTTGATATTTTAAGGACCACCTTATTAAATATTGTTAGAGAGTAATCAACGATTTTTGCACTCACTTGAATTAACTAAAAATTGATTTGTTAAACCAGGATGATCAACATCGTGTATACAAGCAGCAAACAATGCTCCGCCCACTTCTAACGATGTGAATACGCCCTCCAGCGCTGGTGTATTGAGCAGTACATTTGTACTTTGTGTCACATCGGCCGCATGCAGTGAATTGTGAAACGGATTGTCTTTAACATAATGATCCTCCAGAGTAGTCATAAAATTAATAAAAGTTTTCGGTGGTATCATAAGACTGGTCAGTAATTCCCTACTCTGTTTTGTTTGCAATCAAAATTTGAGAAACAAAGAAAACAAAAAGAAAGTGATTATTTATAAGTAGTTAAAAATTACAATCACCGCAATTGTTTGAGCCTACCTGAAATATGGTGTATGCCACACAGGTGAGCGGACGATTGGCACTCAGATCGCCAAGCTTGAATATGTCAATGCCCCACGTATCGATGTCGCCGAGCAGTGTGCCGAGCGCATTCTCGTGCACCGTTTCCACACCGAATGTGGGCAGTCGTTCGCCGGTGAATGAGTTCGTATGGGAGAGTGGTCGTTTCACGCCCGATATTTGTGACATGGGCGGACCACGTGGCGAACGGCAACGCTGATGCTGGGTAAGCATGCTAAGTTGGTCGGGGTTGTCGTCGCCGCGCATCGAGGGTAAATCCAACTCTTGTTGTTTGTCTGAATAGTGAAAAGAGCCGGAGATTTAATTAGGATTATGAGAATATTTGTGTACATTTACTTAACTACTTTGAGATTTTTAAAAGCCATAGATACATATTATTTAAATTTTGTTTTGTAATTGTTTTTATTATCAGGGAACACTATGAAAGGATGGACGAATGGATTTGCAGAGTTAAAGCTTCAAAACACTTTTTTTACTCGCATGTGTGTATATATGACATATTAAATTCTGCTTCCAACCCACTTAATCCTTTCCTTTCTAAGAAAATTTAATTCCATAAACCACTTTATGTATCTTTATTGCCATGCCAATACAGCCTTATGTGTGTATGTATGAAAGCGCTTTGTACCTGTAGGTAAGTGCTTTCTTCTCCCCGCCAGGAATGTCAAGTAACTTTTAAAAGTCAACTCTTAGAACCCTTGACATATGTATATGCATACATACAGGCATATATTTATCAACCCCCAGCTTGCTTGTTTGTTCGGCGGTTGATAAAATTATTTGAGTAACATATTTTAAATCGCAATGAAATTCCACTTTGACTGCCTTTTAAACCCACTTTGCCCACACATATATACCGATGTACATAAATACACAAGTACAGCAAATCTCAGAAATTTTTAAAATATTTAGCGCAGAAATGTCTGGGAAGGAGGAAAACAGCAAAGTGAAAAGGTTGTAAAGATTTGTTAGACAATATTTCTGAAGTCTTTAATACTACTTTTAACCCGACTTCAAAAAAAAGAGGAGGTTTTAAGTTCGTCGGAATAATTTTTTTTTTGTATGTTAGCGCATAACTTTGGACCACGTTAACCGATTTTGATAATTCTATTTTCATCGGAAAGGTGGTACCTCAAGGGTAGTCACATACTAATAAGAAATTAACCATAATCTTAAATTTTTATATGAGAATTGAAGTCGGTTTTGTATTTTGCTTAAAAATTACTTGTTTTTGTTTGCATTTAATGATTTTTCGCTATTATTTACACACTATACAGTACACTATGGGTGCAGAAATCAAGGCTTTATGGACAGTGTGAGACAAAGGTATTAGCGTATGGCTAGGTTACTTACTCTAGTGTGGTCAAGAGTTAGTAAGCGCAATCATTCAGATCCTTATGGTAATGAACGTTTTTTCCTTTATCAAATTGTTAGTACTCCCTCACTATATTTATCACAACTTGACTGTATTCCGGTCCCAAATTGAAGTAAATAAACGCCGCTACTGGGTACCATGAATATTGAAAGCAGAAGGCAGTCCCACACCAGCTTTGAGGCAACTTTCAAAGCTTTCAGTACGAGGAGCGCCAATCTGCTCTGTCAGAGTGTATGTGTGTACAAGTGTTTGCCGTACATGGCGTGCATTGGAAGCTTTCTTAACTCTTTCCTCCGCATTAAATCTATGCTCCAATTTATTCTCTAATATAAAAGCGAAATATTTCGTTCGGGGGTAAATTTAGTATATCCTAATAATAGGGTATGCCAAATACGAATTTCGTACTTTTTTGTGAAAAGTTCTATGGCTGTTTAATCAGGCAAGGCCGTTTGCATATGCAGTTCGTTTAGTTTGTCTACCACTCACTTGAGATGCAATATCAACAAGCCTTGTGAGATGTCGTGGTTTGCCTTCCTGGAAATCACCGATTACCCATTTCAGCCATTTTGTTCAGCAATTGAAAAGATGTTCGAACTACTACTACAACCATGAATGACTGGATTAACGTCGATAGAATAAATATCCTTCAACAGAGTCTCTGTAGAGGCATTGCTGAAGGCTCCAGAAATATCGAGCGAGACTCTCATTGCATATTCCCCTTCATGTTGAGTCCTTTACATTTGTAGATTACGCTCTGAAGAGCTCACTGTGGATTTGATATGGATTAGGTTAGGTAAAGCCCATTCTTTTATGTTTTTTCGAGACAAATATTGCGGGAGGCTTGCTGTAATAAATAATTTTTTTCGCTCCGAGTAAGATTGCCAAAATATTACTTATACGCACTGTTTTCCTTTACGGAAGGAGATATTTAAGAGTTCTTCTTCGTACTCCCAGTTGGTAGGACCAAACTTCTTTGGCGGAGGTAGTGCGTTAAAAAATCGCTGCGGAAATTGCGTGACACTGGCGATGCAACGGAAGTTCATCCATTTTCCCTCTCTATATTATCGCCATCAATAATATTGGAAGTAAATTATTGAAATCTGCTACCCAGAGGTTTGTGATTGAGACTAAGCCACAGACAAATATTAAGAAAAAGACAAATAAATATTTCTCTCTCTGTGAGAGAAACGCAACAACAACTATATGGTAGAAAAGTTTTGAACTAAAACGATGAATCCGCTTTTATGGCTCTAATAATGTCCATAGTTGTTCAAAAATTCAAGAAAAAGGTGCAACTTAGGACGTTGCAAGCATGTGTACATGCCTCACCCATACAGGCCCATTGTTCCAATACTTCAAAAATTTATTGTTCACGGCTGCCCTTTGTATCCCTCATGTCATTCCATTTATCTTGGTCATTCATCCGCCATTCATCCCCAAATCCACTCAAACATAATTACGTGCGCTTTAAGCACTGTGTTTTTGCACTCTTCCACTTGATCGCGCATTATCTTCTTGTTAGCAGCAGAATGATATTTGCCAAGCAGCAGCAGCTTTTCGGTGACATTAGCTTCACTGTATGGGAAACACCTGTTACAAAAGTTGGCGTTTTCTTATATTTTTTGCTTTCTCTTTCACCCATCGACCAAAAGCAAGTTGATTATCCGGCCTTGTTGTTGTGGTTCCGGCTNTAATGGTATTTGCCATGCAGCAGCAGCTTTTCGGTGACATTAGCTTGACTGTATGAGAAACACCTGTTACAAAAGTTGGCATTTTCTTATTTTTTTTTTGCTTTCTTTTTCACCTTTCTATCGACCAAAAGCAAGTTGATTATCCGGCCTTGTTGTTGTGGTTCCGGCTAGTGGCGGTGCGTGTGCGGGTCACCAGCCAGCCGGTTGTTTGTTGTGTGCGCGCAATAAAAACTTTTTAAGCATTCAAATTTGGTTGTGCACCTTTTACGTGCTTAGATTTTGCTGTTTATTTGGTGCCTTTTTTTGAAAGAAGTTTTGCAAATTTTAAATCTGCTCGCCAATATAATTTTTTTTTTGTATTCATTTGCTGTACTTAGCCTTCTTAATTTTTTCTTCTCATCCTCAGACCTTAATGTAAAATACATTTTTATTTCAAGTTGTTCGAAGTGTTGGTTACGGAAACGGAGTGGTGCGCGGTTGCCTCCGTTTTAAGAAAAAAGTTACTCAAAAGAGCAGTAAACTTTTCTACCCTTGTTCAAAAGTATTAGATATTAAGCATTATGTTCCGGCATCAATTTTATTTGAGGCAATTATGTTTCTAAATACATATATTAAATTGAAAATCTAAAGAAAGTGACAGCTATTGCACAATTAGGAAAACATGCTTTTAAAGGATGCTGCATAGTTAGTAAATGAAATCGCACATCCTGTGAGCTGCGGGTATAGTCTGGTTTTGAGAGCTTATCTGTCATCTTGCTACCATTTATCATGCACTTTTTCAACCCACTCTGGCTCAAAACAAGAAGAAAAAATTTCATCAATCCCACCCTCTTCCTGTCATGTTTAAACAAAGAAACATTTACCATAAACTTAAGGTGACTCTGTTCACATAGATGCGTCTGCCTTTAAATGACAGCGCACTTTTCTGATTTTGGTGCTACTCCCAGTCTATGTCGAATTTCCATGAGGAAGTGAAATGACAAAAAATTTAAGAAAATTTCATATGGAAACGAGCATAAAGACTATTTCCAGAAAAGGTATTTTTGGTGTAAAATTTTGTCATTGAAATTTTTGTCATATAATGCTCAGTGGAAATCTAGCATGAGTTTGCCACTTATTTTTGATTTTTCTTCGTTTTCATTTAAACATCATATTGTTTTCTTTCTTTTCACTGAACAGACTTTGAAGGGCTGCTTTGGGTGGTTGACAAAGCTTTTCTATACATGCCACCTGTTTGAAAATTTTAATTAAATTTAATTGATGAGATAAATTGAATATTGCAATATGGATATCAATTTGATAAAATAAATATTACAATACCTCTCCTCTTGCGTGTGCTTGGGCCATCCCACAAAAGGCTTTCGGAAAATGTAAAACACTGGTAGCACCGTGTTTTTTTCTTATTGCTTTCATAACCCTCATACCCCGGTACGCAGCCAAGCAGTACTGTTTATATTCTAAATAAAATTTTGTGTTTAAAATTATTTGTAGTTCTGACGAAAAGAACTTAGTCAGACTTCTTGTCAAATCAAGTATCTTTTGAGCTAATTTCCGAACTAAGCACTGGTTGCCTTTCTCTATTATCATTATGAGACTTCAATTTCCTCCACTCCGCTACTATCAATACGGCCATGTCATAGCTTTTGCAGCAAAAAGTTTTATCATCACTTTATTTTCCTTCGCTTCTTTGCATTTGGTAAGCGAAAATTTGAAATTCTGCGCTAAATTGGTTTGCACGCCTCAATGTATGCAACAGCTATCACGCTGTATGAAAAAGTTTAATATAGTTACCCTTAGCAACAGCTACTGCTGACATTGACCGACTGGCGTATTCACTTTTCTAAGGGCTCAGTGATTGCTCTCGCAGCACTTTCTCGCCTTCGCTATTGACATACATACATACAAGTTTTTACATTCACCAATTCATTTAAACGTCTGAATAGTAAAGGCAGTACTCACTAGGCTGACTAGCAGACAAGCGCGACTAGTAGCAGGGGCGTATTCAGAGTAAAATTTTGGGGGAGTAATTAATGAGAAACATAAATTTTATTTTTAATCAATATGGGTCATTCCATTCAAAATTTACGTTCGAACAATTTTTTCGTGCGAAACATTTTTTCTATGTTCTTTGAGGCAAAATATTAGAAACGTTTTTTTTATATTTCGACACAATATAAAAAATTTTGGAATTATGAATTTTCAAAATGTTCACGCTCGAATAAAATACCTCTAAACATTTGCGTATACGAATAAAAGTATTTCATTATAAAAATGACTAGCCGACCTAAAGTTTTTTTTCTTAGCTTTCCAATGAGAAATACATTGAATTTTTTCGACCTATTTTTTATAAACGAAAAGTACTAATGATTTTTTTTTTTAGTTGCAACTATTTTTAATCAGTTATTTTATTGAAAAATTTTTTATATTGGTGAAATAAAAAAGAAATACGTGTCTAATATTTTCTCAAAGAACCCCAAAAAAAATGTTTCGCACGAAAAAAAATTTTTGAATGTAAATTTTAGATAAATAAATATATATATGCTTTCATTTTAGATATAAAAATTGATGCCCATATTTGCCTATATTGAAAAATCTTTCCAACACTTCTTCAGCTACACCTCAATGTCATAATTTTTATAATTCTCCCCTAGTTCCGCCCTCCGCAGGCATGTCACTGCATATATACAAATGTACAAGTAGTTAATCCATTCGCCAAGTGCACGCTTGAACGCTGCTGACTTTGAATACTCGTAGTTATACGTTTGTATGTTCACGTTTACCAACTAGACTTAATTTAAAATTTAAATTAAAAATAACTCATAGCGCGCAGAAAATTTAACTCGTTGCAGAAAAGTAAGAAAAATGAGTACTAGTGCATATGTATGTGTGCACGTTTGTATGTATTAAGCGAACAAAAAACACGGAAAGCCAAAGCGTATAGAATTGAATCTCTCGAAAGAATTAAGTGAGATTTTATTACATTTTTATTGCTATTTTTACTTACCTAGCCTCTTGGATTGTTTGCAATGATTGAGTAACTAAAGCTTTAGCAACACGCTATAAATCACCGTGAGTGGTTGGTTTGTGGGCACTTTAGATCCCATATAAATTTTGTACGTGCACACATACATACACATGTACCTACTTATTTGTGATTAATTTTTCTTTTTCCTAAATGCAGTTTATGAATTGCGCCTCAGCCGCCAACAGTGGCGTTCACTGCATTGGGCACTTGAGTGGGCGCGTTTTACATACATGCGGTCGGCATTTGATTTCTGCGCGCAAATACAATAGATAGTATTGTGTACAATAGGATATTGCAACACACTTGTAATTATTTGAAAAGAATTTTCATACGTAATACAAAAAAAAAAAGTTGCTGCAGCATGTACTGTGAAAGCTATTATTGGAAGCTATGACTTTGCGGCTGATAACACTACTTCTACATCGCCAATGGAGCCGAAAGGTGTAAGTACGTGGGTGGGGGGAAACAGCTGGAAACAGAACAAATGCACTTTTTCAAGAACGGGTTAAAGCTTTAAACAGTGGTGGAAGGCTTGGTGTACGTTTCTTCTTTCGGAACTCCTCATCTAACTTAAATTTATTCTTTCTGACTAACACCGATCTCTTTAAGGCAGTGGTAAGGTGATTCACTCTGTCTTCAGATTTTTTGGTAAAGACAACAGAAAAATGAGCTAAGTGTATGCAGAACATTAAGAAGAATGCTAGAGTTGAATAGGGCTATAAGCAATGCATACATATGCATACATCTGAAATTAATACAGAGACTAAAATATTAGAAAAGAATTATGTAATACAAGTATACTCTTTGCGCTCCTTCTTTATGTATGCCATGTAGGAAAAGATTACCGATTTTCTTGTTCTCGATTCGCCTTGAAGTCATAAAGAATATACCCTGTACTTTAGAGTTGCTCACAGCCAAAATGATGCGCCCCAAAAAAACTTATGTTTTGTTAATATTCACAAAGGTTTTCATGTTAAATAATTTATTTTATTTTTTTCCTATAAAAATATAGTTCATATGTATTACAACTGAAACCATAAAAACCAAAATTCCAATTTTGCACAAAAACTAAGAAAATTTATAAAAATTGCCATTAATTTTTATGTGAAAATTTTCAACTTTTAAATCCGACTTGTTGTCAAAAATCAGCGGTACCCGAACTATTTCTAAAAAAACCGATCAAAAGGTTGTAAATTTTCATGAAAATTAATGGTAATTTTGCTGAATTTTTCTAGTTTTTGTACAAAGTTTGCCATTTTGATTTTTGTGGTTTTTGTGGTAATATGAAACATATTTTTAAAGAAAAATATCGAAAATAATTTTACATGAACAATTTTGTGAAGATTAATTTTGTGAAGATTAACAAAAAAAAATTTTTGGCGTCCTTCATTTTGGCTGTGAGCCAGTGTATATATGTATGCACGTTGAAGCAGTTAAAAGTTCGCTCTCATAAAAACTGATGCCTCTATTAAGCACCCGAAAGCGTTCAAACCTTCTGAGTATTTACATATGTATATACATACACACACATTAAGCCCTTTAGCATAACTTTTGATGTTCAGCAATCAAACTTTAGGTTCTAACATAGCATAATAAGCATAGAAATTTTGTGATGTACCGGAAATGCTTTGATTTTATAACCAAAAATATTTCTTAATTTTTTCTAACGCTTATGCAAGGAATATAAAAACTTTCAAGCTAAAAAAGTTTTGCATTCGAATTAGGTACTTACCCAAAAATGTTGAACAAATATATTCTGATATTTGATTGCCAGATCTGCTCGACTCGCTGAAGTGTGATAATTCTTTATTGAGCATACGCTTGAACTGTGGGTGGGGGAAAAGAAGAAGTGAAGATTATTAGAGGCGATGGCATGTTTGGTGCGGTGATTAGTTGATGTCATGGTGTAATAATAACAAGGTGTTGTCAGTAACTTAACCTCACTT